TATTATTATTATTATTATTATTATTAAAAAAAGGTAAAGGTTCCCCTTGACAATTTTTTGTCCAGTCGTGTCCGCTTTTCAAGCCATAGAGCCAGCGTTTGTCCGAAGACAATCTTCCGTGGTCACATGGCCAGTGTGATTTAGACACGGAACGCTGTTTACCTTCCCACCGAGATGGTCCCTATTTATCTACTCGCATTTGCATGCTTTCGAACCGCTAGGTTGGCGGGAGCTGGGACAAGCGACGGGCGCTCAATGGAAGCATAAACTTTTGCAAACCTTCTACAGTGATGTCACTTTAAACATTTCAGTATTGATTAACAGGGTTTTAATTAACACTGATGAAGGTCTCTTACATTTTTCAAAGCTCTACAGCCACATGTGTGGTAACAAAGACAGCTTGCATATTCTGAGTAATTAAAAGTCATTTGGCTAAATAGGGAGAAAAGCTAAAACTGAGCATTTTCTTTCAGAAGCTTGCTTTTGAATGATTCTTAGAAAAGCAGAGAACGCCATGTCATCTGCCTCCCAGTTATAACAATTAATTTGCATCCTCCTGTCTCAGTTTCAAGTCTGTTTCTGTACCACTGAAATTCAATATACCAAGGTATACTGGCTTGTCAACTGTGATAATTTCCAGAGCGGGGGGGGAGGGGAGGAGATATTCTGGTGTATAGTGACCCCCTGTAGAATATATTGCAAGTACTAGAAAGAAAGGCCTGCTCCAAACCAGATACTTGTGCTGGGAAAAAAACATTTTTGGAATAACAACTCCCAAGCCTCTTAGGTATTTTAGAAACTGTAATAGCAGATGCTGCTTTTCCAAGGTCTAATAAAGTCTCAGACTCAAACTCTATTCCCTTTCCTCTTCTCCTTCTGCCTGACCATGAGGAAAAATACATCATGATTTCCTTCATGATGTACAGTGGTGCCTCGCTTAACGAGCGCACCGTATAACACCAAAATCACATAGCGATTAGGGTTTTGCGATCGCAAATGCGATTGCATACCGATGGCCCCTATGGGCGAAACTTGCATAGCGAAGATCAGTAAGTGTTTCACTTACCGATCTTCGTTTTGTGACGCCTGACGATCAGCTGTTCGGCGGCTCCAAAATGGCCGCTGGAAGCCCCGAAATGGCTGCACGCAGCGTTTTTGCACCCTCCCCTCACTTACCGAGGGTGCGAAAATGGCTGCTGGCTATGGGAAAACTTCGCTGAAGTGTGAGTTTTGGAGCCTATTGGAACGCATTAAACTAAGTTTAATGCGTTCCAATGGCTTCCCCCATTCCATACAGCAATGTTTTCACATAGTGAGGGTTAATCCGGAATGGATTAACCTCGCTATGCGAGGCACCACTGTATTTTTCTTCATGATGTATCCTCACCTTTCCTTCACTTTAAAATAGATTCTAGTCAATTGCTAAACAAGCTGACTTCTAATGAGAGGTTTTATGAATCTGACATCCTTAACAAACTACAGGTTATTTTAACCATGACTCCTAGCACTGCTATGTAATGACAAGTCATGAAATAGCTTACACAAAGCTGAATCTTATTTTTGCATTTATTGATTGATTGATTGATTGATTGATTGATTGATTGATTTAGCATTTTGCTCAGCGATGTTCATACTGAAACATAAAATACTAAATCGTAGTATACTGCTATGTGTGTGTGTGTGTGTGTGTGTGTGTGTGTGTATGTGTCCACTGAGCCAAAAATATGTGGGAAACTCCAGCAATAGACATTGAGAAGCAGGCTGCAGGAAGGTTAAACTGTTTCTGTTCCCGCAGCCTGCTCGTCAATATCCCACCAGTTAGCTGTTCAGCAGGACATTGTTTTAAGGACTAATCAACAAATATTCACCCATTCATTGTTAACATTTGGTGCTTCATCAGTTCATCCCTTCATCAATTTTGACAAATGACAAATTGCAATGAAGCACCATTTATCCCGATTCGTCTCCATCTCAGGAAGCATAAAAAGATTCCTTTGACTGCAGAATTCAGAGTGAATCTTGTCTCTTCCTAGTCACAAGCCTGCCTTTGCAATGTGATAGGTTCTGTAGCATATTTTGTTATTAATCAACTCCCTCTCTTCTCCTGTCTCGTTTTTCTGTTTCAAGTTGACTTTGATTTGGAGGAATGTTGGCTCCCCCTATGATTCTTACTGCACTCTTATAGGGCATGCTGAGCCATTCTGGCCCCCCTTTTGGCCTGTGAATAATGGAGAATGCTGCTGTGCCATATAGTACAGAAGTGCTACCTCTAGATATTCGTGCAACCATGCCAGCACCTGTTTCTGCCTTGAGGCAGGACAGATGATAATTTCTAAGATCCTGGAAGAAAAAAATGGGTCAGCTACACTGGCTTTCAGCTCCTGTCTATGGTAAGATGGCCACAGGTTACTGCACGATCCATCATAGCATATGACCAGGCATCCAAAGGGTTTTGTGTCCACAGGAAACCTAAACCAGCTGTTGCTTCAATTAATCTCTAATGGGAATTTAACATTTAGATTAAATTGGCCCAAATGCCCATTATCTTGAGCAAAGATCAGAGGCTTGCTAAAATCACAGAAGAGATTCAAAGGCTAAATCTCAAGCATAAAAATGTACCAAATCTTACAAAGCTATTCTTAAATAAAAGAGCTTCACTGTCTACCCTATTATTTTCATGTTACTGAATACTACACGATGACAGAGAATTCAGCACTTTCAAAGCACTCATCAATCCTAATATTAACATGTTACATAATTATTCAAAAATCACCTTTTAAGGTGTGAGCTGTTCTTTAATGTTGTATATACTCTTATATGGTGGCTCTAACCACCAAACTGTTTTAATTAATTAGAAATGCCCATGTTATCATAACCACAGAAATGGCTGAGTCTATTATTGGGTCTTTTTTCTCCTTTTTAGCAACTTTTAAATTACAGTATAACTACCACTATCTATAAATGCTTTAGCTCTCCTCCTTTCAATGCTGCCATCTTCTGGAAGTTTCAAGTCTTTATTTCTGCCTGGTGGGTAATGTAGAGTAGCAAGAAAACTATAGTTGTTTTGAGGTTTGTTTTTTTAATTAAAAATTTAAAAAAATGTCTATATTAATAATGAGTAACATATTGAAAACAAACTAAAACCCAGTAATTTCCATTTCCCAATACTTATAAAATACAATTAATTAAACATTTATCAAAGTTATTATATAGAAAATCCTTATATCTTAGTAATGTTATCTTCCACTGTCTGTATGAAAATATAATAAACTTAATGTAACATGCTATTCCATATTGTATCATGAATTTTTGGTGAGTTTGTCATATTTTCCCTTCAAAATTGAGCATATGCAATTAAGGGACACCAAACAATGTCAAAATCATTGTGGCTTGAATTGTCTTTTGCATTTTATACTACTTGAATACTTCTTGTTTTTACTTTTAAAGTACCATGGTGAGGATTAGCTTTTGGTGGGACAAGCCTGATTCTGAAATATGTTTCCTTAGGAAAGCATCAGGCAGCATCCTAATATCCTATGAAGAGTGGATTTATGAGTAACACCTTGTAGTAACAATGTTCTCTCTCTTTAAGATACAAGTTTCCATTCCAACTTCCTCTTTTGTGATTGTGTGGTTTCCTGAGAGATCCATTTAAAACTGGTGGGAACAAGTAGATCTGGATTGCACAGTAAGCCCACAGAGTTATGTTGTTCTTGGCAGTTTGCTTTGATTATTTCTATGGTGGGTTTTAACAATTTTCTCTAGATTAATCCAATAAATCACAATCAGCTTACCTTTGTACCTCCTTTTGATAGCTGGATTCTGGAGAAAAGAAAGAACAGAATTTAGAATATAAGAAGCCTAACAACAAACAAGAACATTTTTATTTCTCATAATTCTGATCTTTCATTGATATTTATTTATTTAATTTAATATTGAAAGTCACTCCAGTACTCAAAGGCTATTCTAATAAAATTTCTGACAGTCATTCTTACAAAAAGAGCTACTCTTGCTTGTCTGAACCTACTTCCCCCATTGAAATTAGACAGAAAAGTCCCATATGTGAAAGGCTTCCATGTGACAGATTGTTTTTAAAACATTACTCTGCATGTTTTGCGTGAAACTGAAATGTGCTGTTTCTCCCGTGCATTGTTTTGTAACCAGGACTCCAATTTTGTTCTCTTTGTACATGGATAGCAGGATGAACAGTGGTTTCAGTTATATTCAATTCTACTGCCTCCCTAATGCACATGACATACAAATTATTCACTTCAAGTCAACACCACATAATTTCTGAGAAATTATGATGGACTTCACCTAAGAAATCTATCAGGCCCCTCCTCCTTTCCCAGGTGCATGGCAATTTTAGCAGAAATAGGATTACAATATATAGGAATACGTGAGTTGCTGGGACCTCAATGTGTGTTAGTGCAGGGGAATTTCTGCTGGAAGTAAATGGCCTGGCTAAATGTGGTACAGTATGTCATGGCCAGTACAGCATATGTAAGTGCTGTGATTTGTTGTTGTTTCTTGATTATTAATTCAGTTCTTATGCAGTTTTAAAAGAGTTGGCTATGTGCAAAAATGGAACACACACACACAAGCACTGCACATTGAAAAGAAAGCAGGTTCATTTCAGCATGATCTTTGTTTGAGGATCTGGATTCTAATCCAGGAATGTTTGCACTCAGACAAATCTGTTAGTTTCTTTAAGGTGCCACAATGCCTCTGTTTCTGTTTTTATTTTTGTTTTGTTTTTTTCATGTTTTCTTATATGTGTGTTACTGCTATAAATGGGATGAATAATAAAGCAATTTCTGAGAAATTATGATGATGATGTATACATTACTGTGTCTTTTGAAGAGGTAGTGTATACTGCTTAATAACTCCTAACAGCAATGTTTTGTCCTGTTATTGTCATAATGGTCAGATTTTATTTTGGAAGAAATTTAATGGCCAATCATAATGAACAATTTAAATAGAAATCTGCCAGTAATTTCAGCCTAATCTTCCACCATACATAATTGTAAAGTTCAAGATGCATGGACAGCCACTGAAAGCCAACATACCTTTCCTTCTTTTGCAGCAGCATACAATAAGCAGAATAATAAGGATCAGAAGGAGCAAACCAACAACTGGCAACACAACAGCTAAAATTATTGTTCGGATTCGCCCATCTTCATTATTATCAGACTCTACTTGATAAAAATTAATAAATGTTAAGCTGTGCAGTAAATTAACATTTTGTGAATAATATGCATGTCTTCCTATGAATTTAATTTTAAAGACTGGTTAATTTTTCCCAGAGGATGCTGCTGGAAGGACAAGATCATTTAGCAAATTAATTTCTCTATGTTGATTCCTAACCTTATTGCATCCCAAGTCTCTTGATCTGGATGTAATGGGAAACCACAGTGCACATGAGAAAGGAGGAAGGCTAGAAGGAGGGAGCCCTTGAGTGCCACATTAACAGTTCTTACAGTACAAACCCACTTGGCCCAAATGAGCAAGTACCACATGAAGTGACCCTAGACCAGATAAAACTGCCTTGAATCCAAATCCTTGCCATCTTCAGGATGTTGGAAATTATTTAGGACAACCTCCTTTCTCCTTACCTGGAGGCTGTCTCCCTGAGCTAGAGGAGGTTTAAATCAGGCACAACTCAGCACTTCCTGCATGTTGACCTCTCTCTGCTCCACTTCGTTCTTCTGGCCAGAAACCTTAGGTGGGGAGTAAGTCTGTCAAGACATAATGCTTTGGGCAAATCCTGGAGATCAACCAGCTGAAGGATATTTCTGTCAGCAGAAAGGGCTTTTGCCTAATCCCAATCCCCTACAGCAATCGGAGATGCTGTGTTAGTCACAGAAACAGGTTTAATTAGTTTTGTGGCTGTGGCAGTGCAGGGCTGTGCTTGTCTAGTGAGAGGGAAGTCCTACTGAATTCAAAGGGGCTTATTCCCAATTGCAGCATGAGATTGCTGAATTTGAACCTACACCCATTAAATTGTACTAAGTGCATCATCATCACCAACAACAACATCATCACCATCAATAAAAAACACCAGTCGCAGTCAATCAAAATTACAAAAACATTGACTGGTGTTATTTAGCAGATACAAGTTTTAACCAAAAACCTAAGTATCTGTTAAATATTGACACTATATGTATGCTGTTCCTAATACTGCTATTTTGTGTAACTCTGATAGCGGTGTGATTTCAGAGATCTGCAACTGCTTATAGTACTGTGTGAAATTTCTTGATATTGTTCCCAAAGCCCCAATGACTATGGGGACCACAGAAGTGTGTTTCACCCACAACTGAAGTGTGTTTTATCCACAAATGATGATGATGTGCCATCAAGTCAGTTCTGACTTATGGTGACTCTTTTCAGGGTTTTCTTGGAAGAGAGTACTCAGAAGTGGTTTATTGCACATGCCATTCCAAATTCAAATCTAATTTAATTCAGATTTACTTCAGAGAGTTCTATTCAATAACAACAGGCTGAATCTGTCTTAAAAGCAGTCATGTAGCTGCAGAACACTTCAGAGAGGAACAGAAGGGTCATTGCTTTAATAGTCTCCCAGCACATTGCTTTAATAGTCTCCCAACACATATGTTATTGCTGTTGACATGCCAAATCCTCAGATTTTCCTCCAGTGTTCCTCCTTCCCTTATGAGCTATTTTCCTTTTAATTTAATTCACACTGCCATTTTTAAAATGTTACACAGTAGTATTATGCCTCAAATATGTCACTGTTATTCCTGAATGCCCAGACTAGTATTCCATTTGCATTGAAGAATGGAAACTTCTGCCATTTTGGTTCACAGGCTGTGTTTTAATCTTGTCAGAAGTGCTATGGAGCAATTTTCACTCTTTTGTTTTTGCTTATTTTGTTTTTTGTTTTTCTGCAAGCAAAACCTGCTGTATTGCCATGTGCTTTCCTTTCAGGGCCTTGTAGATGGAATCAAAGGGATAAAACCCACAACAAAATCCAAAGGTCTATTCTTGGATATATTCAAGATGGTGGATATCCTGGCTTCCCTTTCCGTAAAGTGAAGGATTTTTTTTTCTGTTAAAGAAAGAATTTGTTATGAAGCAAAGGAATCCGCTGATGAATGGGCAGGGGTGGGGGAATGGCCCTTCTGTAATTCTATCCCTCCCCCTAGCAGCATCCCCACCATACTGAAGGGTCCCACAGCCTTCTAGAGTGGATTTGAGAGGGGTGTAATGACCCACAAAGGGAAACATGAAACAGCAAAATGTGCCACCACTCTTCTTCCCAAGAGCAGAAGGAAAGGCAACATCCAAAGCATAATAAACGTTCATCCTTTGGATCTGATGAACATTTATTAACATTATTTTCATGTCTGACTTTAAAAATAGAAATAAGCTTTACAGAGGAATAGCCATATGATTGTGATAACACAGGAAACACCCTGCCTCCTACTCTGTGCCCTTAATTATCGAAACAGAAACCAAAATCATGGGTTTTCATAATATCAGAAATATTAACCCACTTGCAGCATCATGTATGCTTAGTTTATAGTTACATTGCACTGTATTTTTTATTTTATGTTATTAGATTTCTGCCCCTCCCACAATTGTCCCTCCCATCTAGACCAAAGGTCTACTCTGGGCAGCAATGTCTCCATTTCAGGTTAATAATTAAAAGGACTTTACACAGTTCCACCTTTAACAACTCAGGTGTACAGTATCTGCAGCTACAGAACCAGCCTGTATAGGCAAAATTAGAACTGCTCATTGGTAACCTGTAAGTGTACAGTAATCATGCTGTAGCCTGTATAGGCAAAATTAGAACTGCTCATTTAAGTGTACAGTAATCATGCTGTAACGGTGGTAATTAGTCAAGAGGGTGAATTAATACTCCTCACAATTGTCCAGATAGAGCAGTTTTGCACTGAAAGATTCCAGTCTGATGACTCCGCATCAAAAAGGGGCAAAAATCTGGGTACTGTATCTCAGACAAAACTGTGATATACTGTAGATACCTGGTTGAATAGCTGGTTGGTATAATAGAAAACTATTAGAATTGTCAGTGCAAAGAAACATAAGATAACAAAAGAGGAAAAGCAAGACATCTCTTCCAGAAGATTCAAGAAATGAAAGGGAAATTTAGGCCTAGATTAGGAATGCTGAACGATCAACAGAGAAGCACACTATCTGACATGGAGAAAATATACAGAAATTAAAAACAGTATACCAAAGACCTATGTAGAAGATTTAAATGGGTGACAGATTCCTTTGAAGAGGATTCATATGATGAAGAACCTCCCAATTCCAGAAAGTGAAGTGAAAACTCCTCTGAAAGCACTGAGAAGAAATAAATAACTGGGGTAGATAGGATACCGATAGAACGATTACTAGCCACAGAGACTGGATCTGTCAAAATCCTAATAAGAATATACCAACAAATATGAAACATGAAACAATGGCTCATAGACTGGAAATGTGCATGATACATTCCAGCCCCCATGAAAGGAGAAACCAAGGAGTGCATTAACTATTGGACCATTGCTTTAATTTCCATTGCTCATGGCCACTATGACAGTACAAAGTTAGGCCGGGGTCAGGGTGGTCCTATGCAATTTCCAACAGCCCTAGTTTGGGAATGGTTTGGATTCAGCACAGTCCCAGCTGGCCAAGTGTTAGTTCAGCCAGTCCTCCACCATCTGAATTACTTAAAATTACACCCATAGTCATCTGTAAGATGGACCTATTGAAATCATTGGTATTTAACTTATTCACATGGAACATAAATCCCATTCATTTTACTGGATCTAAGACTAGTGGATCTGGGTAACACAACATCTAGATGCAAGCTACAATACCCAGTATATAGTTTTGCATGCAATTAAGATCTTATTATTAAAAAAAACAACGTTATTCTCTGTTAGTGCTCAAGCATGAAAATTTGGATTTTTGGGGTAGATAGGATACCGATAGAACGATTGGAAAATTTGGATATGGCTTTTTTTTTTTGCCTTCTTTAGCTAAGCATAAGTGTATTGTGTAGAATAATTTCATGAATCACAGAAAGAGCCCTAGGTGGGTATAATAGAAAACCTTTTTGAAGTAGGGTAAATATGGATTTCAAAAGTTGAGGCTGATTTTCAAGGTCCAATTAATCTACTGTGGACATTTCCACTGCCTAAGAGTTTCCTCTCTCCCCCTGGCATTCCCTGTGTGTCTTAAAAATATTTGCTCCAAAGGCAGACCCTTTAGAACAGTGGGGCAAGGGATGGGGGTCAGGAGAGGAAGAATTCTAGAAAACTGTCTTTCCTCCCATGCTGCACAAACCAAAGTATTCTGAGATGAGTTCTGTGCAGGGGTTGTCCTATTTTTGAAACAAAAATTCTGGATCCACCAAATAGACTGCTGTGACACTTTATTTGCCATCTTGGTTTCTGTCCATTACTACTATATATCACTAAATGAGTCATGAGTTCATCTTCTTATCGAGGACATGAAAGAGTCAAGTTTCATGATATATGTGGATATCCATCAAGACAAAAGCTTGCACTGCTAATCTCACAGCCATCCAAAGGTATGTTCTGTACCTTTTGTGCCTGCATAAAACATATTGAAGATTTTGAAACTGATACAAAGTCACAGATAAGATATTCACTTACTTGGAGGAGGTTCATAGACAGTGACTGTCGCACTTGCATTCTGAGGTTTAGAAAGTGCATCTATGGCAGCTAAGCAAGTCACATTGACATTAGCCAGTGGTGTCAGGGTTAGGGTGCTTTCTTCATCATATAATCCGTTTAATCCTTGACTCTGGTCAGTAATGTACATTGAATTATTTATTAGGATATTACTTCCTGTCCAGGAAATCTGTGGAGCAGGAGCCCATCCAAGAGCTTCACAAGTTACTTCAATTGTTTGGTTCTTTCTTACTGTGAAGTTGCTATTTTTGATATTCAAAGATCCATTAACTGTTTAGGAAACAAAGATGGTTTTCTTTCTTCAAAATGTCTTAATTTGCATTATACAAACAAACACATTTAATTCCTTTTATTGAGCAATGGTCTGCTTTTGGTTTATACAATAGCACCAAAAATGCTAATCCTTCCCCTTGAGATTAATTTCAATGTTGAAGAAGTAATATTTGAAAAAAAAAATTCTAAGAGCGTATTAATGGTTTTGGAAGAGAAAGAATAAAACTGCGCTTTTGGGCTTCTACATTATGATATATAAGGGGTTTTTAAGTTTACATTTTTATACAATGAAGTCCCATTTAATTCATCAAGAATTTTGGGTATAACACTGTTACATGCCTCCTTGACAAATTTATGAAGTCAGAAGAGAAAGTTAGCATTTCTAGATGTATTTTTCAAACTGAAATTATTGACAGTGCTGTCACAAAGACACCTGCTCTCCGGGTAAAGTATATTACTACACAGTATTCACCAATCACAGGAACTTTATAGAAAAAGTTACTAAAAACCACAACTTCCCTTTTTTTAAAAAAATGGCTGGCGCTAGCTAAAATGCAGTGGAAGCGGCCTTCCATTGACCTCCATCTGCAGACAGAAGCCTCCACCACCAGTGAGGGAGTTGATTTCAACATAACTATGGACATAACTATGCCCTCTCAGGCAAAAAAAAAAATGCCATTTGCAAAAAAAGATCCCAAGTGGGACATTCTGTGGACAGGACAAACAGAATAAACCTCATCTTGTCACTTTTTCTATCTGGCAGTTAAAATCTTCAAACACTAATTGGCTAGCACCATACAGAATCTGATTGGTCACAATGTTCTATTATGTAAAAGACAGATCTTAATCATTTTATACACACATACCTATACTGTAATATACATGCTGGGTTGCACAATGATGTCTAAAGCTGTTCTGTTTTCAGAAAAGGGTCCAAGATTGTCACCTCTTCCAGTCTGGAACAGGGATGGGAACAGCCCCTTCATTTCTGTCAGATGAAGGGGGAGGTCAAAACCCTTCTCCATTGGCTGGCTGGGTGGTGGTGGAATATGATCATCTCCCAACTTCTGCCCTAGCTGATGTAAATCAGCAGGACTTTCTGTGAAATGTGAATTTTGCCTCATAGGTCTTCCAATACCACCCAGACCTATCACTTAGGATTGATCTGGTTGGTATTAGAGTAACAGAGGTCCTGATCACATGAGGAAAATGTTCTGTAGTTATCCCCCAATTAGATTGTTGTTGTTGCTTACAGTCACACAATGCACAGTCAGGATTAAAACATTTTCCTTGGCTGTAGTATATAACTGCAGTTCATTTCCCACTATCTGGGAGGGTTTTGTTATTTTGCATCTCTATGTTGCCAGTAAATTTCTTTCTGGTTTTGCCTTTGTGCATGACCAGCCTCGTTTCTTTTCAGAATTGAATTTAGGAAGGTGGCCACTATTATTGTGGTGTATATATTAATTTTTTAAGTTTTTTAATGCATGATACATCAATATGTTGGTAAATGAATGTCACCAGGGGGCCACCACCATTACATTACTGGCAAATATATATATATAGATATTTATTTTTATGGAACGATACATTGAAATGTTGGTATGCCAATGTCAACCGGGTGTGTGTGTGATCACCAGTACTGCCGTGCAAATATCCCAGGTCCACTGTGCACAATGCATTTCTGCAGGAGCAACCCGTGCAACAGAGGACACTGTCCTAAGGAGAAATCCCTTCCTGATCAAGGTTCCCTCTAATTTTAAGCCCCCACTGGGTTTGTGAGTACACGCCCCCCCCCGCAAAGGGTTACATTGTGATCAGAATGAAGGGGGCTGTAACCTACCACTGTGGGTGCATGGGGGAAGAGGAAAGCTATACAGAGGGGGCAGAGTCACATGCACTCATGCAGTCACGCACCTATTCCTTATTTATCAATGTATCAACAAATATTATTTTTAGTGTATATATAAATCAAAGGGCTAAATTTCCCTTTGAAACAAGAGACAAAATAAACTGGTGTAGCCGGCCATAATGATTCAAATAAGAGGAAATAAATCGGCACCGCTGTAAGTTCTTGGGACGTTTGTCCCGAAATATAAACCACGTGACCACAATTCATTACAACAGAGGTATGGAAAGTATCAGAAAAACTAGAAAATTTCCCTCGTGTGGCCAGGGCCAGAGATAAGATGGCCAATACATGAAACATAGTTCTGCTACATGGGCTGAGCCTGACTGGTATTAGACTATTGCAGGAGAACAAGCCTTACAGTAATGTAAAGACTAATTATCAAACTAGGCAACATGTTTAGAATATATTTAGGGGCAATGTTCCACTATGGGGTGAAAGATGTCTGCTTCTCACAGTGCATTTCTCTCTTTCTCTCTTTCTCTCTCTTTCTCTCTCTCTCTCTTTCTCTCTTTCTCTGTCTATCTGTCTATCTGTCTGTCTGTCTGTCTCTATCTATCTATCTATCTATCTATCTATCTATCTATCTATCTATCTATCTATCTATCTATCTATCTATCTATCTATCTATCTGTCCATCCATACATCCATCTACTTTTTATACTGCCCAACTTGTGTTGAAGCATTATTCTGAGCAGTAACAAAAGAAAACACAAGTAACAAGCAATTTGGTGACAATCCAATATAAGTCCATAATTATTTCCTCACAAGAAGAGTATTTCTGAAGGTTTCTTTTTAAAGTTCTGCCTTAGCCAGTTCTGTGTCTTACAAGGTGAATTATTGGCAGATAAACAGAGGCTTGCTTTGCAAGTCTGACTGCCAAGATACGTACCTCTAATAAAACTGCATTGTGGAAGCAAATCCAAATGAATTGCAATGAATACACATTTCCCCACCACTTTGGTTGTGTGTTAGTGCTTAGTGCTGAATAAGAGCAAACCTGACCAGGGTTTCTATCCACAATGATTCCTAAATCCCCACTTTACTTCTGTTGAAGAAATTAAGAAGTTTTAACTGGATGCTTCAAGAGAGAGAGAGAGAGAGATGATCTTCTATTCTGGATTAAAACAACAACTGGCTAGTGCTATCACTGAAAGCTTTCAATATGAGTTCTTTTCAGTGGAGATTCACCCCACAACAACTCTTTCACAACAACTTTTTCAGAATCATGAAGAAAGACTTTAAAGCCATTACAGAATAGATTGTTGTGTTGAAAACTGCTTTTATTTTATTGTTGGTGAATTAACACTGAAATATTCTTACCAAAGAAGCTCTTTCTGTTTGAACTCCACCAACATAGAAAAGGAAACAAGTGAACACTCACCTATAGCAGATTGGTGTTTTTGTTCTTGTCTCTTTTTTTAATGAAAAGTCAGGGGGTTTGTCATTTTTTGCCACTCTTGGTACCAATTTAATCCTTGTGTTGTCCGAGAGTGGGGAAAAGGCCAATATCATCAGTGCACAATTGGACACATGCAGAGGAACAAATGCTCTATCTGGATGAGCCCAAAGCCAATGAGAAGAAATTTAAGCCAGAATGGAATTGAAGATAACATCTGGTTCAGCATTTTTAGGCTGGAGCTATCTATTGACATTTCTACTGAAGTACGTTTACTTTTGTGATTGCCACCAGTGTCCAGTGGGAGATTTTTTTTCCCCACTTGGCTTTGAACATTCCCATTTGTCACATGAAACTGATTTATTTTGCTTGTAGCTGACAGACTCATCACAAATAAGTCTGAAAATATCTGAATCCAAGGCTGTTTGTTTTCACTGTGTCATCTTTTAGGTTTTTTGTTTTATTTATCTGTTTAGGGTTTTTTTGTTTATCTGTTTCCCCATATGGTCATACTCTCTTATTCATGAAACTCTCATGTGGCAATTTCTCAGTTTTCGAACAGACATTTTATTTCTGCAACCCACCCTCATTCTAAAATATTAAAATGCTTCTCCAAAGCCTTTGGAATTGTCAATAAGAACTTCAAGCTCAGATGTACTATTATTCTAGGCTTCAGTAAAGGAGGGATCAAACTCTTTGGCTCAATAGCCCCATGCACCACTCAAAAGTGGAATACATTCCCCATCTCTGCTATAAATTAAGGAAGGTTAAACATCTGGAAATGTCATTATGTGTATCTAGCTAGAAAGATGGACAGAGAGATGTTACTGATCTACTGGTTTTGTAACCTTCTGGCCCCAGTCTTTGCATTTCCCTCTCTACATCCGTTGATGGGGATTGGGAACAACCCAGTTTACACTGAAAGAAAGAAAGAAAGAAAGAAAGAAAGAAAGAAAGAAAGAAAGAAAGAAAGAAAGAAAGAAAGAAAGAAAGAAAGAAAGAAAGAAAGAAAGAAAGAAAGAAAGAAAGAGGGGTGGGGGGGACAGACAGAGTCACCTCTATATGGGGAAGAGAGAGAGAAAAAAAGAAATGCCTCATCAGGGTTCCTAGACAGGCCTTTACCTGCTCTGATGAGTAGCAAGTTTTTTTCAACCTTAGAGTAATATTCTGAGGATTGCTGATGCCACTTTTCTCCTTTTTTCCTCAAAGGACTAGGTGTCTTCCTTTTTGTTCCCTGGACATGAAAGCAGCAGCCATGGATCATGATGTCTTCCGCTTAATTAGCCAGAAGGACAACTTCTCTCACCTTTCATCTCTTGGGTGCATTTCTTTAACAAGCACAAACGTTCTTATTTTTTTAAGAAAACTGTGGACGTGATTCTTTTACAAGGAGGAAAGTGTGCTCAGGTAATCATTCTGAGTTTAAAAGGGCTGCACCGTAAGTCAACATTGCTCCCATCCTGCTGCTTTGCTTACTCTGAAACAAATATATGGGTGTGTGTTATATTATGTATTTTTATATGGGCCACCTGAGGGTGATTTCATGTCTTTAGAAAAGTGATCTCTAGCCCACAAAAGCTTATGTCAAAATAAATGGTTGGTTTTGAAGCTATCACAAGACTTTTTCAAGGTATGAGGAAAGAAAGTATAAAAAAATGTACAGTCACCAAAATCCTTTTATGTTTTATTCCACTGTAAAGCAATTGAGGTAAATCTCAGTGCTGAATTGCCACAAATTAAGAAGTCAATATGTAACAGTGTGCCTGGCGTGCTGTCAAGTAGGACACGACTTAACAATTAAACAACATGTAACAGCAGATGCCTTTCCCAACTTCTTAACATGTGCGAATTCACCACAGAGATTTATGCAAATTGTATGAAACCAATGGGCATAACTAGTAAGATTGAAGCCAGTTAATATCAATTAGTTTTGTAATGCACACACAAAAAACTGAATGATCAGGAAAATGTATACACACCTTGGACAGTAAGAAATGCATACATATCATCTTCTTCATTCTGTATGCTACATTTTATTTGTCCAGAATCATTCAGTTGGACATCTGAGATTGTCAGCTCCGAAGTAAACCTGCCGTCTGTTGAATAACCTTTCTGGCTATATCTTGGAGATATATATGTTTTTCCATCACTCAGTAGAGTCAACCTAGGATTTCCATTGAAAAGCCATATCAAAACATCCCATCCTTCTGACACTGTGCAGTTAAACTGGGCTGCTGAACCAGCTAGAACAGTTAAATTTCTGGGACCTTCTATGATGGAAGAGGTAAAGCCAGGATCTGAAAAAACAAGAAATGAAACAAAACCAACACCAGTGTTAATAAAGATGTTTCTACTTTAGCTTGCCTACACATTGTGATAACAGCTATAAAATCAACATACCTAGGTCTGAATCAGCCTTTGTCAAAAGTGTGACTGATACCAGCAGCACAGTGAAACTTCCATATAATTAACCAGCATAACAAATCGATGTAGCTTGGTGATCTCATTGCTAAGACAAATTGAGGCCAGACTGTTTGCCAAGCTTACAAACATCCTTCCCTGTCAATACTATGGACAAAACAATTGTTTTGTATCATGAATTTGTCCCACACAAGAAAACAGAAAAAGCTGGGTGGCACATAACTGATTTTTTCATATTAACTTAGATATTATTTTAAAGTTTTTCTAACCTCCTTCTCTTTTCTTTGTAGAAAAATGGGCAAGCATCCTCAATGGTTGTTGCCAATAAGTAAATGTAAGACTAAAGAATTGTTTTGCATTACTTCTAAACTGGGCCAATGTTCAATTTAATGAAAGAGTTGTGTGGTGTAAATAGACTAAGATCTGATGATACAAAAATGACATTAGGTCAGCATGGGGTGCTAACTTCCAAGGGTCAAATTGACTGCTGAGTTCAAGAACAATTATGTAAAAGGAAGCCTCTGTGCTGCAGGGTCAGAAGACCAGCAGTCATAAGATCGAATCCACGTGACGGAGTGAGCTCCCGTCGTTTTGTCCCAGCTCCTCGCCAACCTAGCAGTTTGAAAGCATGCAAATGCAAGTAGATAAATAGGTACCACCTCAGTGGGAAGGTAAAACGGTGTTCACTAGTCACACTTGCCACGTGACAGCAGAAACTGTCTCCGAACAAGCGCTGGCTCTATGGCTTGAAAACAGGATGAGCACCACCCCCTAGAGTCGGACACAACTGGACTAAAAATGTCAAGGAGTATATTTGTTAAGAGTATATTTGTTAGTACATTTGTACTCAGAAGCATATTGTTCTCAAAGTGTTGTTATGCACTTTGTGTAAACTTCTTGAACCACTATTTTGCACTTGATTTCAGTTTGGTGAACTTGGGTTCCACCAAGAAAGAATTTGGGTTGAAGCTCAAAGCCTGCCCATCCTGACATAATAAATCTGGACCTTCTGGTTCAGTGGCTGAGCCCACTAAAATGCCTATTGGAATGTAGGTTCTTTCACACTATTTCCAGTGATAGATGTGGCTCCTTAGGAAGCATGGTCTCTGACGGAATGCTCTGTAAATTTTAAAAATTTTGGACTATAGTTCTCAGGATCTCTCAGAAAGCATTCTCCAGGTTGTGTCGTATGTTGCAGTTTGACAGCTGTGCCAAGTCATATGTACCACTGTACAGTAAGCCCTTGGAATACTCTTTGATGTTTTTCAGATTAATCCTGTACACAGTGATCTGCAAGAGTTAACTTTTTAAATATTTGTTCATACTTAAGCTGACGGATAGGCAATGACCTTAATAATATGTTCTCACATTTGCCAAACTGGACTTAAAAAGAAATGCAAAAATAATTATGTGACTGATCTTTCCACAGCCAAGAACTGCATTACAGCTTAAATACCATACTCAAGCTTTGTTTGTACAGCATATGTGGATAGCATAGCAGAATAATCCCTGTGTATGGGAACTGATTCCAATGCATCTGTACTTTCTTTTTCAAATTTTCTTCCTGTAGTCTGTTGCAGCTAAAACAACATATTATGGCAAATTGAAAACTAGCAAGTTTTATTGAGAATGTTTGGCTATGCCTAGAAATCAATTATTTAAATCTGTTGCTCTTTTTTGCCTTTTTACTCTGATAGATGGCGAGAGGTATCTGTAGGATTTTAAGTTTCATTCTGCCAAAATAATGTGGTGACAATTTGGAGCTTGGCACCTTGATCTGCTACTCTCTCTTCAGCAGCCCATTGTTGTGGGGTAGCCCTGATTCATCTGATCACCTGCCTCAAAACAATCAGAGAACCATAATAAACAGAGATTGTTTCTACTTGTGGACTGCAAGGTGTTGTGATGTGAAAGGCCCCTTCTGAATCAAATCATGATATTCCTCTTTCGGATATAACTATGATTGATCCATTGATCAATGGACAGCAGTTACCATGGAATATCTTTGACAATATATAATAACTGATCTCTTCTATTTTGATATTACAAATCTCTCTTTCAGCAGGCACTTTCATGCAGAATTAAAGCAAACTCCATGTATTTTTGTCCATGTACTTAATGACAGAAATGTTAACTGTATAAATATTCAGTGAAAAATCAGATAGCTTCCCACCAGTGCACAGCAAACATACATTCCTGTGGCCAAAATCCTGTTACTTAGCTCCACTGACACTGTAAACGCATAGTTTCCCCTCTTTCCTCGAACAGGAGACTAGGCTGGCCCCATCATTATTGTTCTTCTGCAAGCAGACAAAGACCTTTCTCCTCAGGCAGGCCTTCCCTTAATGATTGATTGTCTGAGAGGCATTTTTAAATGGAGTGTTGTGCCTTGTTGCTTTAATTCTGTTTTTGTTTTGTATCTGATTTTGGTGTCAATTTTGTTTACCTTTTTTGCATAGTGTTTATCTGATTTTTCTAGTATCTGTATAATTAGTTTTTAGCTTTTAAATATTGCCTTTCAATTATGCAAACCACCTTGAGTCCTTTTTAAGGAGAAAGTCAGGGTAAAATAAACAAATGAAAAAATAAATTTAAAAATAGTCACCCATGCATTATATTTTGATGTTTTGGGGGAGGTGACTAGGAGAAAGGAAGTGTATAAACATTTTAAGTAAATCAATAAATAAACATGCAGAGGGAATAGCTAAGCGATTATTCAAAGCTGATGTACAGAATTGTGCCAGAAGGTCTGGTTATCATCCTCATACTTCATCCTTCTACAAAGTTATTGCACTACAAACAGCCTGACAAATAGCAAACCAATGAGTTATACATAGGCCCTGCTATGCTTGGCCAATCAGAAAAGAGTCATACCTGTTAGAAACGTGAAAAGACATAGAGTCAGCCCAATCCATTCCTGACGTCTTTCCATTTAGCATGCTAGTTTCTTGAATCTGGAGGAGAAGAAAAGATTCACATATATGCTATGTGCATTTTAAACAATTTGAAGTTATAATTTTAAAGAAAGTAATCTACCTGCAAGCAACACAAACAACAACAAAGGAATATCTTTTACTGGCAAAGAATTATTGAAAGTGAAGTATTCAAAGACAATGTGCTTGCATTTTAGAAAAGATCATGTCTTTTGAAATGATGAGACACTGAACTAGAAGTTGCATGACAGGCTTATTGTTAGTCTACAGCATGAATACAAAATAACCCTCAATAGAATTTTCATTCTGCATCAAACCACAAGGTACCCACTACTGCTGCATGTATTTTTTTTTAGGAAAGTGAGCTGTCACATTGTTCAACCCCACAAGCCAGCCTGTGTTTTTCCAGTTTTGTGAGAACTCTAGCCTATCTGTTAAAAGGCATTATAGGTGTAGAAGCAGAAATCCTTATGGCACCTGAAAAGTAACATTTTTATTTGGCATAAGCTTGAGTAGAGCTGGTTGGATAGCTCAGTAGGTATTGGAGTGTGGGACCAGAGGTTGGGAGTTCGATTCCACACTATCCCTCCTCAGAGTAGAGCCAGCCTGTGTGGCCTTGGGAAAGCTGCAGAGTTTCAAGATGCCCCCAGAATAAGGGATGGTAAACCACTTCCAAGTATTCTCTGTCTGAAAAACCCTGAAAATAATTACCATAAGTCAGAATTGACTTGATGGCATGTGATTATTATTAAGCTTGAATAGGACCAACAAGATGATGGCCATACTGGTATTTCTTAAAGGTTTCATTAAGAGTTTCCAGCAAGGTTTATAGTTGTTAAGAATTGCTGAAAGTGGGAAGTACAACTAAGCATAAATAGACAGATTAACTGTTATATGATGAGCCGGAAGTTATTGAATTCTTGGTAGAATTTTACTAGTATCTCTTTTTGGAATCATGGAAAAGAGGCACCGGTGAAGATCTTCCAAGAATATCAAACTTCTACTCAGCTATCATCCCTGCCTTAGATTAGTTCGTGTAAGGTCAACTTTCTCAACACCACTGCTCAGTTACAGGATGCCTTATCTCAATTACACTGTTATTATAGCTCAAGTCAAGACCCCACTGTATTTCTTATAGGTTTCATTAAGAGTTTCCAGCAAGGTTGATAGTTGTTAAGAATTGCTGAATGTGGGAAGTACAACTAAGCATAGACAGATTAACTGTTATATGATGAGCCGGAAGTTATTGAATTCTTGGTAGAATTTTACTAGTATCTCTTTTTGGAATCATGGAAAAGAGGCACCGGTGAAGATCTTCCAAGAATATCAAACTTCTACTCAGCTATCATCCCTGCCTTAGATTAGTTCGTGTAAGGTCAACTTTCTCAACACCACTGCTCAGTTACAGGAGGCCTTATCTCAATTACACTGTTATTATAGCTAAAGATGGGGGTATTTGTATATGAATATGAATATCCTTGCACAGCTGGAGTTAACACATCGGGTGGCGGTGATGGCCCCTCTCTTCCTTCCAATCACTCCAGAGTGCCGCTCGGCTAGCCAATCAGCAGCCTTGCAGGGAGATTCGTCCTGCCTCTCTCTGCCAGGAGTGGCTAGCCAACTGGAAGAGAATGGCACTCAGGAGCTATTGGAAGGATGAGTGCAGCCACCACAGCCAGCGGTCATGTGAGCAGACAGTACGGCCCTAGGGGCTGAACCCTCGTTAACTCCATCTGCACGGGGACATTTAACTCGAAAAGTCTGTAAGTCGAGCCGTCTGTAAGTCGAGGGTCCACTGTATTGGATGAGTGCAGCCACCACAGCCAGTGGTCACGTGAGCAGACAGTACAGCCCCAGGGGCCGAACCCTCGTTAATTCCATCTGCACGGGGATATTTGTTTTCATATACAAATACCCCCATCTCTAATTATAACCAACAGTAATAAATATCTATATGATCGTAGCTTTTGCATGGAACATACTACAAAAAACATTGTTTACAGGATAGCTGCACAACTGGATCCACTTGAACAGAGTCTGTCAATTCAAGGGTTTAAGAAAGTCAATTCCCACCTGAAGACATGAATAACAGATCAATAGAACCACAAAGAAACAATCTTCTACCAGTCAAACTAGGACAGATGACAGAACAGCCTTTATTGTCCCCTCAGCTCCTGCTTAAAGCCACTTAAACATATAGTCAGCAGTTCTCACCACATCCTCTTGCCTGATCTCTGTGAGCAAGTCTTGCTTTTTCATACACATAGTCACCCAGCTAGAAAAGATTACTCATCATCAATAGACATCTGAACAGAGATAGGAACTAGTGGTTCACATGTAAAAGACAATAAAAAGAGACTTTATACCCACATGGTGCCAAGCTAAGTGAAGAGTGGGAGTAGATTTGTTTATGCAGCTAGAGAAGGACTTTCTAACAGTAGACTACAACCCCAACATCTAGATAATGCAGCCACTGTTGTATATCAAATTTGAGACAGCACTAAGAAAGTTAATGAATCGTTTTGCCCTCTGTAGAATATACCCAAGAACGGACGACAGAATTCAGGACATTCCACACCCAGACAAAACAGGAGCACCAGTTGCCTTCACCTGCTGATTCTCAGAGCAAAAAGAGTGCTGAATCAGCTGTGAAAATTGCAAAGACAATTTTAACCAAAGCTAGGACAACAATGACTGGGGTGGGAATCTAGCACATAATTAATGGGTCAAAAGATAGAGATACTGCTACCAGTGAGAGGCAATGTATAATCAGAGGGGCTAAAGCAGATGACCCAAACTAACAGCAGTACAGAAATTGAGACAGACATATTACTACAAAAACCAAGCAAAAGATCTACCCAAATTATGTGTGAATGTTTTGGTTTCAGAATGACAGAATAAGTAGTGGAAGAAAGCTGAAGTCCAAAATCATAGCCATTCGAGTTTGTGACTTAGGATGGTCCAATGAGGAAGAAGAATCAAAGGCACAAACAGAGCAGCAACCAAACTATAGCAGACTTAGAACCAGCAGGGCAAGCCGGAGGGAAGCATTGTCAAGAGGCTAAGGATATCACTGAAGTTCTTCTCCCTGAGTGTCTGGATTTTTCTGCCTGAGTGAATGAGAGACTGTCCAGCTCCTCTTAACCTTGTTCAGATGGGTAGATTCCAGTCAACACGGGACAGAGTAATGTCTCTTGGAGTAAAGGCAATTAAGATTCTGGCAGGTCAACCACTACAGAAGCCTCCTAATCTAAAAGACTATCTCTAAAGTCAAGGCAGTACAGTATATAGTACTGAGGATGCTGAAAATATACTGTCATGTGTAAAATAGTTTATTTTATCAATAAAAATATTTTCCTCACTTTTCTCCATAAAAAGGACTCAAGGCATCTTGCATAAAAAGATAGCAGTTAAGCTAATAACGAAGAGTATAAAAATACTAGAAAGGATCAAAAAAAGTGCCATACTAAAAACAGTAAACATAAGGAACACCAAAACACATTCAAAGCAATAAGGCATAATAATCCATTTTAAAAATTCTACTCAGGCAGCCAGTCACTGAGGGAAAGCTTGCCTGAAGAGAAAAGGCCTTTGCCTGCTTGCAGAATGACAGTAAAGAGGAGTCTTTGCAACAGAGCAGGTCCTCTTCCCCCTGTCGCCACCAAATGCACCTGTGAAGTTTTGTTGTTTTTACTAGAAAACAAAAGATGTATCAAAGTGTGTGAAAGTAAAGTACAGGGATTACACTAGAAGACAGGAAGAGAAATTTAAGTAACCCAGAGAGAAGGCCCTGCATGAGGGAACAAATACAGGACTTTTTTTTCAACAAAAACAGTACAGTGACAGCACAGGAGAGATAAAGTTAGAAATTCAAAGCAAACTTGTTAAATAAAATTAATGTTTGATATGTCTTCATGTTTACTCTTAAAAACAAACACCACTTGAAACAACCACAATACTTCCTGCTTCCTGGTTCCTCTTTGACTTTTTAAATTTGCCCAACCATAACATTTTAATTACTGCGATATGCCTCATTCATTATCCTAATATTGTTGATCACAGGCTTATAGAAGACAGAATCGTTTACCAGTATTCAATTTAGTCGCGTACTGTATGTTGAAGAATCACCTTACCTTTTAACCTGAAGGATCTAGTGTTAGAACCCTAAGAAAAGTTGTCTCTCCCACACAAACAACTCCTCCTATAGCCACACAACCAGTTTATTCTAATTAATTCTCACATTGCTTTTCATTAGAATTGATCAGGAAGATCCTGAGAAAACAATTTGTTCCACTTTTGCTTTCTAACTGAGATCTACCTGACTTAGCTGTAATATTTAATGTCATGATAAGGCTTGTTTGTACTGTAGAACCCAAGCGTACTCCCTTGCTTTGTAATGATTAACAAGGGCTGCCAAAGCAGGAAGTAAAAAGCAGCTACAAAACTAACTTTTGCCTCTGAGAAGTAAAAAGAAGCTATTGTACTTACCTACTGTAATTATTAGAGAATGCTCAGCACACATTAAGAGGGGGGCCTCAAGCACAAAAAATAATCCACACTGTGTGACATTTTCATGACTGCAATAACAGGTAGAAATTAAGCAGGTACTGCATAGGTTTTCACTTTACCACACCTTTGTGTGGAAACAGTGCTGCATCTAAATAATTTTAGACCACAGATTTAATGATCTTCTAGACACACCTCTTTAGAAAGTCTGTTATGTTCGATTATGAAGCACACAATTAACATTTCTCATGTCATCACCACTCCATATTTTACATCTTGTTCTTCTTTATTCTTGATATATGAAAACAAATAAAGGGAGATACAGAGAAAGAAAAGGAGAGTATTTATCAAGCCTGATAAAAAGCAATAATCTGAGCATGTGCAATTTTACATTTGAAACTCACATAAATGATAATGCCACAATGAACAGGGGAATAAAATGGAGTTTATGCTTCCTTTAAAAAAACACATTTATGGAAAGCATATATGTAAATATTCTTTAAAATATTCTGTAAAAATAACAGTATAGGTCTCTGTCACCCTGCTCATACTCCGCTAACCTCCCGTATATACGCCATACAATTATTTAAAAACCTTCCAGTTTATGAATGTGGCATATTGTGCTGTCTGTATACCCGATAATCATCATCATCATCATCAGCATCATCATCATCATCA